ACTGGGCAAGGTCGCCGTTTTACTGGGCAAGGTCGCCGTGTTACGGGGCAAGGTCGCCGTTTTACTGGGCAAGGTCGCTGTTTAACTGGGCAAGGTCGCCGTTTTACTGGGCATGGGCAAGGTCGTTCTATAAGTACAATATTTTCTTAATGTTGTGGGATTCTTTGGGCGGGTGGGTATTTTCCTGGAGTAATAATTGCTTGACTAGTGAATGCTTGGACTTGAGATGCTGAACCCTAAACCCCAAACCCCAAACCCCAAACCCCAAACCCTAAACCCTAAACCCTAAACCCTAAACCCTAAACCCTAAACCCTAACCCTAAACCCTAAACCCTAAACCCTAATTATTAGACCCTAAACCCTCAACTGAAAACCCAAAACCGTGTTGGGCTTCTGATTCTTCACGAACTTACTCCGGGGGCCGTTTTTTCATTAGAACAAGTTTATCGTTTGTAAGGGGCTGATGAGAAGCCGGTATGTCGGGCATTGACCTAAAGATTACACAGATTTTGAGGGGTTAGTTAATGTTGCCAAGTATTTACGCTGCTGCACTAATTCCCCCCCCCCCCCCCCCCCCCCCTAAAACTAACCCCCCCCCCCTCTTTCGGCGGCACCAAACAGCAAACTCTTAACGTTAAGTAACAAGCTCTTCTGTGACCCTAAACTCCTTGCAAGGCTTAGAGCCCTTTAGGCCTCCATGGAAACGGGTTGCTCAGGAGGTTTAGGGTTTAGGGTTTAGGGTTATATTCAGGCAAATCGAGGCTTGCGAGCCTGGAATAAGGGTACCTTCAGCGCCACTGGCACCACGGTGAGCGCGAAGGTCGTCATGTCGAAGCCAGAAAAGGCATCGTCCGAATCAAACCAGACCTGCAGATCAAACAGCTTCGTTTACAGGGTTTGTGGCGCTTGCTCTCCGACTTTGTGGGGATTAAAGTTTGGCACCATCCAGACCTTTAGGGCTTAGCCCTCCGCCCAAGCGTTCCGCCGCACTACTTCCATTCAGGTAGACTCGAAATTGGCCATTTCAGAAAAAGTCTGGGGCTGGGCACTCCGGGACAGTGGTTGGGCACCACAAGGACTCTGGGGTTGGGCACTCCAGGACACTCTAGATTTGGGCACTCCAGGGACACTTTGGGTTGGGCACTCCAGGGATGAGCGAGGAGTAAGAGTTGAGTTTAAAATCAAACAGCCCCACACCGAGGGTGGGGACCAAAGCTACAACAAAAACACAAGTAGCCAAAGCCCTGAGTTACCTAGGTTGGACCTGTAAGCAATCCACAAATACGGTACTCTTAAACACTTAAACCGCATAGGCAAGTATAACGCACCCCTCTGAGCCTGAAGCCTTAAACCCCTAAACCCTAAACCCTCAACCCTAAACTCGAAACCCCAAACCCCAAACCCCAAACCCTAAACCCTAAACCCTAAACCCTAAACCCTAAACCCTAAACCCTAAACCCTAAACCCTAAACCCTAACGGGCTAGATCCGGCCAGGATGCCAGCATGAGGACATAGCATGGCAGGCTGAAGGCCTGCAGCATGACCTTGTCAGGGGGCATTCTGCCCTGAACCCCTAAGAGTTGCATTTTTAGTTCCCTAAACCCTAAACCCTAAACCCTAAACCCTAAACCCTAAACCCTAAACCCTAAACCCTAAACCCTAAACCCTAAACCCTAAAACCCTAAACCCTCAACTCTAGAGGCTCCTGGAGGATGATATAGAGACCAGCCTAGGAGATACGGAAACTTTTGAGGACTTGTGGAGGGAAGGACAGGGTTTAGGGTTTAGGGTTTAGGGTTTAGGGTTTAGGGTTTCGGGTTTGGGGTTTGGGGTTTGGGGTTTGGGGTTTGGGGTTTGGGGTTTGGGGTTTGGGGTTTGGGGTTTGGGGTTTGGGGTTTGGGGTTTAGGGTTTAGGGTTTAGGGTTTAAGGTTTAGTGTTTAATGAGGGTGTATACTAAATTCACAAACCCTAAACCCTGAACCGCAACAGAATCCGAAACCCTGAATATGTCTAAGCCATATGGTCACTTCTCTAAGTCATTGTTCCTTTTTGGTTCCCCTAAATATTAGGGGCCACCTTAGAATCGTAACCCCGAAAGGACCTTAACGCAGCTGCATTCCCCATAAACCCGAAACCCGAAACCCGAGACCCGAACTCCTAAACCCTAAACCCTAAATAGTGAACCCTAGAAACCCTCAACCCTCAACCCTCAACCCTCAACCCTCAACCCTCAACCCTCAACCCTCAACCCTCATGGTAAACCCTTATATAGGATATTCAGAAGGCAAAGGACCACATTGAGGGACCATGTAACTTCCCTGAGAGTTTGATTTCCTAGGCTTCGAACTCGAACTTTAAAACTGTAGACCTTTCTGAGGGGAGCTTTAGACCCTAACCCTAAACCCTAAATCCTAAACCCTATATAAAGGGCCCGGAACATGGTCCCTAACCTCCTTTACAGTTCTGATGTAAGGGCCCTTCATCTACTATTTGCTTAAGAACCCCCAAAGGAGAATAAATAAGTACCTCCCTTATTCCCCTAGGGTTTAGGGTTTAGGGTTTAGGGTTTAGGGTTTAGGGTTTAGGGTTTAGGGTTTAGGGTTTACCCCTATAGGGAAGAATATTTGATATGTTTTTTTGGGTGGGGGGTGCTTAAGCAAACAGTAGTCATTTGTATAGGGTATGTAAGGGGTATGTAATGGGTACCCTTGTACGAGACCATACTAAGGGCCCATGAAACTACCCCGCAAGAGGCCCCTAAGGCCTAACAAGGTTTAGGGTTTAGGGCTAGGGTTTAGGGTTTAGGGTTTAGGGTTTAGGGTTTAGGGTTTAGGGTTTAGGGTTTAGGGTTTAGGGTTTAGGGTTTAGGGTTTAGGGTTTAGGGTTTCGGGTTTAGGGTTTAGGCTTTAGGGTTTAGGGTTTATGGTTTAGGGTTTTGGGTTTATTTTTGGGTTTAGAGGCCAGGCGACCATAATGCGGCACAGCTCCGCACTCTTCTCCCGGCCCAGGAGCTCACGCGCGAAGTTCCTCTCCAACATGGCGTAGCAGGTGTCGCACCTGAACGCAAGAGTCTCAAAGGAGGGAATGGGTAGCTACCTAACTCCCCCTAAGCCCCTTAACCCTAAACCCTAAACCCCAAACCCTAAACCCTAAACCCCAAACCCTAAACACCCCCCTAAGCCCCAAACCCTGGAACGGCCGAAGGGCCACATTCGTTACCCGCTCAGCGACACATCCGCGGGCCGAGCAGGCGTGCAGGGTTTCGGGTTTAGGGTTTAGGGTTTTAGGGTTTAAGGGTTAAGGGTTTAGGCGGTGTAGGTTTCATAGGGTTGGAAAAATGTGTCCCCATTTTTGGTAGTAGATGTCTGAGCAGAGCGTTTGGACCTCACCGAATCACAAATCCCTGGGTTCTGCAGAAGCCTAGGAAAAACAAGAGCAGGAAACACGTTCGGCAATGATTAACGCAGCTTGTAAGGGTCTAGGCTTTGGGGGAAAAGAGGACTACTGGAAAACCCAAGACCAAGCCAAAAGGCTGCAGCAAGCTCGTAACTTGGACCAGGATAAAGCCTAACCCAAAACCCAAAACCCAAAACCCAAAACCCAACACCCAAAACCCAAAACCTAAACCTTAACCTGTTTGACTGCTGAGGCACACGGCATCTGAGAAGCCACAGGCAACAGCCAACGCCTTCTTCGTTGCCCACAGGCTTTGGGTGTTTAGGGTTTAGGGTTTAGGGTTTAGGGTGTGAAGGGATTGGGCGGTTGTGGTGTGGGGTGAAGGGTTGAGGGTGTAGATTTTGGGTTGAAGGTTTTGGGTTCAGGGTTTATAAGGGTTCAGGGCTTAGGGTTTAGGACAGAGGAGGGGGGGGGCACGGAGTTCGGCGGTCTAAACGCCCAACCCTAAACCCTAAACCCTGAACCCTAAACCCTAAACCCTCAACCCTAGACGACATGGCACATTTGGGGACAAACTGCTCTCACAGAAGTGAAGCCCGGACGCAATTGCCAGCATCGAGCCGCTTGCCTCGGTGTCCTCTGTTGTTTGCCGGGCGGTTTAGGGTTTAGGGTTTAGGGCTTAGGGCTTAGGGTAAAAAAGAATCTTAGTTTCCGCGCACGGACACAGACCAGGGCCCGTACGACGTAGGAATCTCAAAAGCCTGATGCTTGGAATCATAAGCCTAAACCCTAAACCCTAAACCCTAAACCCTAGACCCTGAACCCTAAACCCTAAACCCTAAACCCCAGAACCCTTGAAGCGCGGAATCAAGCGGCCCAAATCCCAGGCCTATGAGGCTGGAGGCTGGGAATTAGGGGTTAGGGTTTAGGGCACTGTTCTGGGGTAGTTTTCAATGGTGACCATTCCGGTTCCTTGCTGGAGGAACCACCCGAACCCGAAACCCTAAACCAACCGGCTGCTCTTTGTTCAATGGTTTTTCCGGGCGGGGACTGAAGAGTTTCAGGGGCCAGGGCCTCTATCCCACTCTCTTTGGCAGTTCCTCTGTGTTGTCTCCTGTTTCGGAGCCCTCAACCCTAAACCCTAAATCCTAACCTGCAACTGATTCCACCCTGGACTGTCCTTCGAGCGCCTCTAGAACTGCAATGCTTAGTTCTGGCTACATTGCCTTAATTCCACCTCGGCAGACTTTCAGGCTGCACGGAACAAGTAGTTACCCTAAACCCTAAACCCAAAACCCCAAACCCCAAACCCTAAACCCTAAACCCTAAACCCTATGAACCCTATGAACCCTCAACCCTAAGCCCTAAGCCCCCCCACTCTGTTACTCAGAAGCACGGCTTAAATGCCGAAAGCCTCCCCCCTGTCCGAATTTCAATGCGTGCTCAACGTGTACCTTGAGGTTCACGGGAACGGATAACCTCAATGATAACTGTACTTACAAGCCCCCTGGCAAACCCTAAGCCCGAAACCCTACACCCTACACCCTAAACTCTAAACCCTAAAACCCTAACCCTAAACCCTAAACCCTAAACGTCCTCCTCCTCAAGGGCTTGGACGGTGGAGCTGATACACGACAGGAGAATGGCCATCAGGGTCACCGTCTGCAACTTCCCGGGCAGCTGCCGGAGCATCAGGGCCTCTTGGTTTAGGGTTTAGGGTTTAGGGTTTAGGGTTTAGGGTTTCCATACTCTATCTCACTCTATCTCTATCAGGGAACCCTTTCTTGCTTAGCTGCTGGGTTCATAAGCCCCCCCAAATAAGTGTATACTTTCTCAGTCCTCTAGGGGATGATAGCATCCCTAAAAAGTGCGAGGTGTACTCATTCAGCGACTAAGTTTGGGGTTGCTTTCTAAGGGAACCTTGAACCCAAAAAAAGGGTGCAAAGGGTGCAAAACGCTAGGCTTCCAAGGCCTCAAAGAGCGCGACCCAAATCAAAGTCATTCGCATGATGATGAAGAAGAGGGAGGAGCTCATCATCGAGACCGCTAGGTTCCTTGGTAGCCATAAACACTAAAACCCTAAAACCTTAAAACCCTAAAACCCTAAAACCCAAAAACCCTAAAACCCTAAAACCCTAAAACCCTAAAACCCTAAAACCCTAAAACCCTAAAAACCCTAAAACCCTAAAAACCCTAAAACCCTAAAACCATAAAACCCTAAAACCCCCTAAAACCCCAAACCCTTTTTTTTTTTTTTTTTGGGGGGGGGGGGTTGGTCACTTTATGAGGGAAACTTGAACCAAAAAAGAAGGGAAAAGGGGTTTAGGGTTTAGGGTCGAGGGTTTAGGGTTTAGGGTTTAGGGTTCAAAAAAGAAAGGGAAAAAAAGATGGGCTTCCAAGGTTCTGAAGGCCATATCTCACCTGAGATCACCGTCGAAGCTGCGCTTGCTAGGGTTTAGGGTTTAGGGTTTAGGGTTTAGGGTTTAGGGTTTAGGGTTTAGGGTTTAGGGTTTAGGGTTTAGGGTTTAGGGTTTAGGGTTTAGGGAGGGTTTAGGGAGGGTTTAGGGAGGGTTTAGGGTTTAGGGTTTAGGGTTTAAGGTGTAGGGCCTCAATGTCAGGAAACTTTCCGACCCCGAATGCGACCACCCGAAACAAGATACCCATTTAAGCCCTGAAAGCCTAGGTTTAGGGTTTAGGGTTGTGGGTTCGGGGCTGAGGGTTTACTATGCTAACCGTAACCCCTAACCCTCATCCCTAATCCCTAATCCCTAAACCCTAAAACATAGGCCCTAAACTTCACGAACCGGGGGGCTGCCACAAAGATTGCTGGACCAACGCACCAAAGGTATTTGCGCGAGGCCAGCTTCCGAAACTCAGTGCGCCCAAACCTTGAAATTCCCTACGGGATGAGGGAAGCGGGATGAGGGAAGTGGGTGCATGATATCCACCTCTATACAAAAAATACAAATATGCATATATATATATATATATATATAAATGTGAACAGGATTATGAATACAAATATAAATACAAATACATATACAAAATATGAATATAAATATAAATATATATATATATGTATATATATATAAATATAAATAAATACAAATATAAATATAAATACAAATATAAATATAAACATGCATACAAATATAAATATGTGTATATATATATATAATTACAACTATAGGGATAAAGATAAAGGTAAATATGAAGATAATGATAAAGATAAAGATAAATATACTTAAAGATAAAGATAAAGATAAACAGATAAGGGTGAAGATAAAGATAAATACATATATAAACAGAAACATAAGTTTCAGTAGAAGTATAACTATAAATAAACAAAAAGTAAATAAGTAAATAAATAAATAAATAAATAAAAATATATATATATATATATGTGCATACATGTACTAAAATGACCGTGAAGGGATTCTATAAGGCACTTCTGTCTCTCCTAAGAAGCGGTAGGATTAGTGCTCAGGGTTTTAGAGTTTGGGGTTCAGGGCTTAGTGCTCCGGGACTCTGCTTGGAGGTGAATGCGCAGTGGTGACGGCAGGGTGGCTGTAGTTATACCTGGTATGGCCTTAATTATTTGGGGCACTGTACGTGTGCACCACTGAAAGCACCACTCATCCGAGTGAAACTAACAGGTTCTACCCCAAACAGCCCTCATGCCTAAACCCTCTAGACAAAAAGCAGCAGAAACCCCCCAGAGCCCCTAAACACTAAACCATGACCCCTGAACCCTGCACGCTAAACCCTAAATGCTCTAGGGTTCATCACGAATCTTCCTGGCTTAGAGTTTAGACCCTAAACCCCAAACTCCAAACCCTAGACCCAAAGCCCTTTCGGGTTGAGGTATTTAGGATTTAGCCAGGCTTGGGGTTTAAGACCCTGCGATTTTTGGAGTCGAGGGCGGAGGTTTTCATGCGGCCCTTTAACCAAACGGTTTAGGGCTCAGGGTAAAGACGATACAACAACCGAAAACCGTAAACAGCACTGCCCAAACCTCCAAAGTTCGGCCGTGACCTTGCGGGGGGGGCCTCAACGACCCCGCCCCAGAATTGCTAAAAATGCAAAGTGAACCCTAAATGACGCCATAAAACCCTATGTCGGTCTAGACCCTCGACCTAAAGCCCCCCACGCGAAACCTACACCCTAGAACATTAGCAGTTTAGATGGGTTTGGTGCTTAGGGTTCATGGTAGACCCTACTTGGAGGTTCAGGGTACCCCTAAGTCCCCTAAGTAGGTTATAAGTACAGTTGTAATTGGGGTTACAAGTACCCGTGAACCTCCAAGTACTTGACCCTAAACCCTAAACCTCAAAACGAGAACTTGAAAGCCCCGGCGCCCCAGCGCGAGCCGTGCCAGCAGCCCGGCGAGGAGGATGGCAGCCGACAGCGCGAGCGGGAGGTACAGGGAGAAACCTGACATCATTCTAGGTTTAGGGTTTAGGGTGTAGGGTTTAGGGTTTAGTGTTTAGGGCTTAGGGCGTAGGGGTTCAAAAGACCTGATGCAGACCTAAATTGTCGGGGTTCAGGGCTTCGGCTGTGGCGTCTGCAGCCCCACATACCCTAACCCGCTCAACCACATCAGAAAGAATCTATCCCCTCACTTATGGGCTTCTCTGGGTGGGTGCGCGTCTTTCCAGCACAGGCACACGAACAATGGCCTAGTGAGCCTAGTGAATGCTTGGACTGAAGGTGCTGAACCCTAAAACCTCATCCCTGAACCCCAAGCCCCAAACCCAAAAACCTAAACCCTAAACCCTAAGCCCGAAACCCAAAACGCACAAGCATCTGCAACATGATTTTCTCACAAATCAAAAGAGATACGTTCCTCGAGACTTTTTGTGAACCTCCTCAAAACATTTCCCGAAACTTTCCCCGACCTGAACCCTTCATAACTAAAACTTCAAAACAACCTAAACCCAAAACCCTAAACCCGAAACACTAAACCCTGAACCCTAATCCCTCCGACTGGCAACGAAAGACAAATCCTGCACTCGTTTTTGAGCCCTTGGAAAGGGCTTGCGACCCTGTGCTACATCTTTAAATCCCCATGAAGCCCCAAAAAGCCCCCGAACTTCACACAACAAACCCCTAACCCTAAACCCTAAACCCTAAACCCTAAACCTTAAACTCTGCCGCACAGGGGCTGCTGCGAGAGCGAGCGAGCTGCACGCCGAAGCCCGTCAGGCAGCCTGGTTCCCCTAGTTTCCCTAAACTCGCTAAATTGGGTCTTAGGTTTAGAGTTTAGGGTTTAGGGTTTAGGGTTTAGGGCTTAGGGCTTAGGATGGAAGGTTGAGGGTTTAGATTCCCTAAACTCTCAAAAGCCCGAACTAAACTAACGTCCGCAGCCAGCTGAAAGTCTAGTGACTAGTGGGTTTAAGGCTTAGGGGCATCGGGGTTTAGGGGTTTGGGGTTTTAGGGGTTGAGGGGTTTAGGGTATAGGCGTTTAGGGTTTCGGGTCCAGGGTTGAAGGGTTAGGGCTCGGAGTGCAGGGTTCAGGGGTTTAGGGCCCCTAAACCCAAAACCCAAAACCCTAAACCCTAAACCCGAAACCCTAAACCCTAAACCCTAAACCAAAAAACCTTAACCATTTGAGTCTGGGCTGGCCTGTCACCGGCACGGACAGCAGCAGAAGCGCCTTCCAATGAGCGCCCACCCCTGTGGAGGGGGCCATCTCGGACTTCACCGCATCAATCAGGGTCAGGAGATAGCTCATCCTGTGACGCAGGGGGGGCACTGGGTTTGGGGTTTAGGGTTAGGGTTTAGGGTTTAGGGTTTAGGGTTTAGGGTTTAGGGTTTAGGGTTCAGGGTTCAGGGTTCAGGGTTCAGGGTTCAGGGTTCAGGGTTCAGGGTTCAGGGTTCAGGGTTCAGGGTTTAGGGTTTAGGGTTTAGGGTTTAGGGTTTAGGGTTTAGGGTATTAGGATGGTTTAGGATGGTTTAGGGTTTAGGGTTTGGGGTTTAGGGTTTAGGGTTTTGGGGTTCAGGTGAGCTTGGCTTGAGGTAGCCTTTTATATGGAGAACCATATCCCTAGGGGTCCATTTACCTAAGTATGATAGGCATCGGGAATCGCTTGGCTAGGAGCGACAGCCTGCGTGCGCACTGCTGGCACCCACGCGCGATGGAGTGTCAGTCATTCCGGGTGGCCCATGCCTGCGTTTTGGACCTCGACCCTTTGACCTGACTAACCTAAACTCTAAACCCTAGACCCTAAACCCCAGAGCCTAAACCCTATTTTAAAACCCTGTACCCTAACCCCTAAACCCTAAACCCTTCAGACACCCCCTTACTACACGAGCGTTCGGGGGGGCTTCAGGGTTGGGTTGCGAAAGGTTCGTGAGTCGCGAGCAAATCCAGGGTCCTGATTGCAGACATCAAGCTGGTGTGACTCGACGTCAGCCAGGGCCCTTGACTCGACGCCAGCCAGGGCCCGTCCTCGAGCGAGAGTTGTCGCGGCATGTCCGTCGAAAGCTGTCTTGGAAAGTCGCGCAACGCCTTGGCTGACTTCTGAACCACTCCTGAAAGTTAAACCTAAACCCTAAACCCTAAACCCTGAGCCCTAAACCCTAAACCGTAAAGCCTAAACCCTAAACCCTGCTCCTTATGGTAGTTTCTACAAAAGCCCAAAAGGCTCAGGTCCAAAGAGGCAGCCAGATGCAAGCCAAGGTGCCGAAAGGACGCTGGCCCGACGTTCAGAGGCACCCTTCCCAGCGTCCCATTGCGCCTGCAGCTGTAAACACCAAGGGGTTTAGGGTTTAGGGTGTGGGGTGTAGGCGGTGTTGGGTTTAGGGTTTGGGGTTTGGGGTTTAGGGTCAAGCACTTGGAGGTTCATCGGTACATATAACCCCAATTATAAGTGTACTTATAACCTACTTAGGGGACTTTGGAAGTGAAATTCACACACAAGCAAAGGCTTGCATTTTGGACTTGCAGATGAAAAATCTGTCACAAGGAGAAATGCGGACCTTAGCATTCGCTAAGATACCTAGCTGTGGGAGCCCAGGATCTTGCTTCGCGACCCCAGCGCCACCCAACGCAGAAATTTCGGCGAGCCCCTACAGGGTGTTTCTCGTCTGCTTTCACCCAACCGGTGATAAGACGGAGAGGGCCACCCAAGGAATACTCCAAACGCACGAGCTTACCGCTTGTTAAGGAGTCTACCCTAACGACGACGACGTTGAAACGCTCACGCGGGTCCAGAGAACTCAGGTCTCGCTCCGGGGGCTCATCAAGACCTCAAGCCAATAACAAAAACGTATATGGAAATTTCAGAATGACATTTCGAAAGCGCACGCTATCGCTTTGCAGCCGCTCGATGGCTAAGCCAATGTGGCGGTGCAGCGTGGTTTCCGTGTTGATGCACAGACTCAGAACCTGCAGCAAAAATTCGCCATAAGTGTATGAAACGAACAAAATTTATTTGAGCAAGGCCTCGTCGAAGATTTCTGGCGTGCGTTGCACCAACTGACGACCAAACCAGTCGGCTGGAATGGCCACTGGAACCCTCAGAGCAGCAACGGATTCAGTCCATTTGGCCTGGCGCACTGAGTGCAGATACAAAACTTTGATGAACTGCAGGCGTTGCCTTGATCATGTCCAACAAGAACTGTTGCTGCTCCATGGTGGTCCGGTGGCATTGCGGGGTCCTGTCTTTTTCATTTATTTCAAAATAGATGTTTTTATGAGAAGAATACGATTTCTCTGTGCTGCTAAGCAGCTTGGCCCACTTAGCCAGTCGGCTGTGCCACGCTTGTAGAAGTGCCAAGAGAGCAACGCGGAACGTGGACCAAAGCTCTTCCGCTTTCGGAAGCCAGGTCACGTCCACCGGAGGCGCCTCCGGATGTTACAAGGAACTTGAAACCACAACTCTTTCGCTTTCGGAAGGCAGGTCACGTCCACCGCAGGCGCCTCTGGATGTTACAACAATAACTTGAAATGTTTTTCTTCCATACGTCTCAAACATTTATAGTATAAGATGCATTCCTGGTCTGAGACACACACAGTACTGGAAGCGGACATCCTCTGCCGCTCTCGACCACTTCTGCCCGCTCGCCTTTCATGGAGGTTTCTGTTGATGTTTCTCTCTACATGTCAGCACCAACACAGGCCTCTTGCCATTCCAGGCCACGCTCGTAGGCATGCTCGGCTGGCTCAAAACTACAAAAAAACTTGCCGTGTGGCTGCTTGGCAGGTAGCGGCTGAGGCGACCTTCCGCCTAAATCTCGCGCCGTGCCGTGCAGCTACTATCTACAGGTCAACTTGCGCAAGCGAAACGACCTCCTGCAAAAAGGCGTGGTTTTAAATTCTTATGCCAAGCCCAAGGCCGCAGGGATCCCTTGTGCCTCGCCCTTGCGCCGTGCTAGTGTTTGGCCAGGCCGGCAAACATGCCAACTACAAAACGTGGTACCGACAAGGTTTTCTGGGCTATTGTACTACGTACTCGTGTTTGGCTATCCAGCTGGAGCGTTTGTAATAGACTACTCTAAAGCTTGAAGATTTGAGAGCCTGGGTATAGCTCTATCAGACGGCCTGATTTTAAAGTTTGGGGTCTTAGCCCTTGCGCTCGCCCTTGCCCCCCCTTACGCCATACTGGTTTCTAACGCCACTGTTACACGAAGGCAACATACGTGTGGCCGGCCCAAGTAAACACGAACAGGCGGGGGTTTAGAATCACGCCCAAATAAGGACAGCCGACTGAGTTTTCAGTTTCAGAACCCGGCTCGCCTCAGGGCGGCTGGGTTTTTCACGTCAGGCTTAAGCCCGGCCACGAGGCCGATAAGTAAATGTGGTACTGTTGAACCGCCTTTTTTTAAAAGTAAATAGGAAAGTTCAAAATTACTATACAATTTCAGAGAGAAGACTCTAAGAAAAGCTGATATTGTTTGGAAAACTGAGCTCCCAAAATGACAAATCGCAAGCAGTGTTCCCTTTATGTGTTTGGAAAATTGAGCTTCCAAAATGACAAATCGCAAGCAGTGTCCCCCTTAAGTGTTTGGAAAACTGAGCTCCCAAAATGACAAATCGCAAGCAGTGTCCCCCTTAAGTGTTTGGAAAACTGAGCTCCCAAAATGACAAATCACAAGCAGTGTCATCCTTTAGTTTTTGGAAAAAGAAGCACCCAAAATGACAAGTCTGGGGGCCACCCCGGAAAGAGGTTAGATAGTTTAGATAGTTTAGAGAGTTCAGGGGCTTCCTGAACTATCTAAACTATCTAAACTATCTAACCTCTGGCTGGGGTCGACCCAGGGGGAATTAAAACTTTCTAAACTATCTAAACTATCTAACCTTGTTTTTTCCCAAAATCGAGGTTACTCCCAAACGCGGAAGTCCTTGCAAACATGGTTTTTTGTAGAGATCCCTAATGAACACGGCGCAACGAGGGGGTCGCGGCAGGGTCCTTGCAATCACCTTTTGCTGCAAGGAACAGCGGTCCCCAACAAGCCATGAAGCAGATCATTCAGAGAGGCATTTGGCGCTCGATCCCCAAACAACAGCACGTACTTTCAGTGCATTTCAGTTTTTTCTACATTGCTTTCGGATCTTTTCTCTGGTCGGGACGATACCTCTCGCAATTGACTTTTTGTATATGGACGATATCTGCGAGCGTAGTTTGAAGGCATCTGACCATAGTATAACATTGTTTCCGGAAAATGTTCACTGGTCGGGACGATACCTGTCACAATTGACTTTTTGTATAAGGACGATACCTGGGATTGTACTTTGAGGTCGTCTAGGGGCTCGTCTAAACTATCTAAACTATCTAAACTATCTAACCTTCTTTTTTTCTCAAAATCGAAGTTAGATAGTTTAGATAGTGTAGATAGCTTAGATAGTTTAGAAGTTTCAAGCCTTCCGGGGGCCTCCCCGGAAAGAGGTTAGATAGTTTAGATAGTTTAGATAGTTCAGGGGCTTCCTGAACTATCTAAACTATCTAAATTGTCTAAACTATCTAACCTCGTTTCCAACAAACAAGGCAATGGTCACATAGAACGTAAAGGTCCAACATACACACATATATATATATATGTATATATGTATGAATAACTATACATACACACACATATACTATATGTATATATATGAGTAATATAATATGTTACTCGTAATGTTATAGCTTAAGCCTTTTCTTCTTACTTCTGAGGATTATTTGTTCTCTATGTATATATATATACATATGAAATGCCACGAAAAATGTTCTCATCAGATTTCACTCAAGTGACTGCTTGTGCCACACACATACACTCAATCAAGAAAGACATGAATTCTGTCGGATTTAAGGTTTGTTACGGGCGCGGGGAAGTTGAGTTTGCGGGGTTTGGATTGTGTGTCCAGTGTGCCTGCTTCTTGTCCAAAGTCGTTTTTTTAAGTGCAAGTTGGAGTTGCAAGCCAAAACATTTTCCAACACCGTTTATTTAAAAAAAAAAAAAAAAAAAAAAAAAAAAAAAAAAAAAACGAAGCCCTTTTACAAAAAAAAATCCGTTTAGAATTGGGGTTGCAAGTACCCATGAACCTCCAAGTAGGGGATAGGATTAGGGGGGGGGGGGGGGACCCTTGGGGATATAGACCCTCTGAATAAGGTCCCTGTTTAAGAGAGCCAGAAGAAGGGGTGGCCCCTAAACCCTAAACCCTAAACCCTAAACCCTAAACCCTAAACCCTAAACCCTAAACCCCAAACCCTAAACCCTAAACCCTAAACCCTAAACCCTAAACCCTAAACCCTAAACCACAACGGAGCACCACTGGAGCTGAGTCTTCGCCGAAGTTGTCAGGAAGAGATGGCTGGCAGGGTCCTGCCAAACGAAAAAGAACTCGGCCCCCCCCAAAAGGGGAAGGGGTATGTGTGCAGCCTAAAGTTTGGGACTAAGCCCTAAGCCCTAAACCCTAAACGCTAAACCCTAAACCCTAAAAGCCTCAACCCTGATGTGGGACTTGCGTCTTTGGAGTTCGAAGGGCTTGTAAAAGGCTTGACATCCACTGCCCTGTTGAGCTCTGCGGCCCCTGAAGGCTCGTTTCCGAGGGCCGTTTGAAGGGTTTAGGGTTTAGGGTTTAGGGTTAGGGCTTAGGGTTTAGGGTTTAGGGTTTACGGAGTCCCCAAGAGCCCCTAAGCCCTGAAACCCTCGACCCGCACACGCAAACCCAGAAGCCCTCCTGCAGGCCCGAAACCCCAAGACCCTAAACCCCAACCCTGACCCTTCAACCCTGAAGCCCTTATTCAACCCTGAAGCCCTTGAACCCTAACCCTAAACCCCTGAACCTTAACTCCCTAAAACCTTAAGGACCTTAAAACCCTAAAACCTTAAAACCCGAAAACTCCAGACCCCAAACTCTGAACCCTAAAACCCTGAAACTCTGAAACCCTCCAAACCTCAAATGCTAAACCCTAAAACCCTAAAACCCTAAACCCTAAACCCTAAACCCTAAACCCCAAACCCCAAACCCTAAACCCTAAACCCTGCTCCTCCATCTGCAACGCATACGTCCAAGCCCTGGGCCGCCAGCTCACGAAAGTCCTGGTCGGAAAATCTGAACTCTTTTTGGGGTTCTAGGTGCTCTGTCTTAGGCTTCCGTTTGTATTTGCAAATGTAATCTATTTATGTATGTATGTATGTATTACTGTTAACTAATTTATTTACTTATTTGTTTGTTTGTGAGAGGGGGGGGGGGGCGGGCGGGGGGCGCCAAGCTTTTATTTTGTGTTTTTGTTGCTTCTGGTGGTTTTGGCGTTGGCTTTAGGATTCTACGGTGTTTTTTAGGGTTCAGGGAGCTTAGTTGTGGGCTGAATTTTGGTTTGGGGGTGGTCGAGTTTATTTGGAGGGGAAGCTGGGAAAGAGGGGAGAGGTTTAGAATCCTAGGGCCTCAGGTATCGGGTAAATGGGTCAGGGATGGCATCTTCTGGGCTTTGGGGCTTTAGGGTAGGGTTCTCGGGATTTTGGGTTTATGGATGTAGGGTTTAGGGAAGTTTAGGGTCTAGGGCTTTAGGGTTTAGGGCTCTGGAGCTCTCGTGTTTTCGGGCTCAGGGTTCAAGCGATTGGAGGTTTAGGCGTTCTCTGGGGCAGCTGTGCCCGCGTACGTTAGCCTGTTCTTTGTTGCCTTGATTTAAGAACCCTAAACCCTAAACCGTAAACACAAACCCTAAACCCTAAACCCTAAACCCTAAAACCTAAACCCTAAACCCTACTGTCGAGGAAACCCCGGAAGAAAAGCATCTAACTCTTAGGCATAAGCAGCTATACTAGGAACCCAGAACCAAAAAAAGCATTAAAGTATAGTAAACCCTAAACCCTAAACCCTAAACCCTAAACCCTAAACCCTATATAGTACTCCAACACACAGTAAACTCATAGAGTGGAGCCGCACTTCCTTGGGAGGCCGATGTTTGCGAACTGGGCTCCGGTTTAGGGTTTAGGGTGTAGGGGTTAGGGTTGGCGGAGAGCCGAGTGGGCTTTGTGGAGGGAACCGAAGGGATTCGGGTTTTGCATGTGCTGGGTTTGGGGTTTGGGGTTTAGGGTTTAGGGTTTGACCAGGTTTTAGGGTTGAGTCTAGAGTGGTTTCAGGGTTTTGTAACTTCTTGCTTCACTGCCGTGTATCGGCAAGACTTGAAATTGAAGTCTGAAATACTCGGGTGCATGTTCACGGGGATCGTCGGATCGCTGGGGATATTCGCATAACTTGGCACGTTTGAGGACGTTTCGGGTGTGAAAAAGGTGCCTCAATAATTCGAATAGGGTTTAGGGGTGTTATATAGTACATTTGTAGAGGGACCCTGAGGGAATACTGTTAGAACTTTCCGACCACTATATTAGGCATCGTGCAACATGCGGCCTCATCCATCTGATCCGACTTCTTGACGCCCAGGAGCACAGTTTTCCTCGGCCGGAGTGTGCCAATGACCTCAGGGCGGCTTAGGGTTTAGGGTTTAGGGTTTGGGGTTTAGGGTTTAGGGTTTCGGGTCTGGGGTTTGGGGTTTAGGGCTGTCATAGCACGAGCCCCCAAACAACACCCTCACAACCCCTAAACCCATTCACACCCAAAACCCAAAGCCCTTATAAACCCTGGACCCGGAACCCTAAACCCTCAACCCTAGACCCCGAAACCGAAACCCTAAACCCTGAACCTCAACACTCATCCCTATATACCCTAAACCCTAAATTCCCACCCAGGCCTGCTTAGGCCGTACCCACCCTCTTCTAGGGTGCCTGGACCCAGCACTACACCCGACAGCGATTAACACCATCGCTTGGACTTACTATGCAAGCCTAAAGAGTTGTGTTGAGCGTGAGCTGCACCTCCAGTGCCGGTGCAGTACCCCGCCTGGGGTACCCCGCCCCCCTTCTCCGATTCTCAAGTATGGTTCCTGCAATACCAAAAGTGGCTTCTGCAGGTGGTCCCTGGGCCCCCCTCCGGAGCCCCCTGGTGCCGGGCCCCTGACGGAGCGTGTTCAGGGACCAGAGGGGCCGCAAGGCAGGTCAGCCTGGGCGATTGCTCAAAAACCCACTACCAAACCCAAAACCTGGTTTTTTGTGCCCTGACGCCGCTGGCCCCCCTCCCCCCCCCTCCCCCCCTCCCCCCCCCCCCCCCTCCCCCCCCTCACCCCCCCCCCTCCCCCCCTCCCTTTTCAAAGGATGGGGATGGGAAGTGGGAATTTAGGGCGTTAGCCCGAAACCCTAAAAGGAGAAAAGTTGGGTGGATGCCTGCGTAAGCAGGGGGTGGGAAAAATAAAACAACCCAACCTTTCTGGTTGTGGTGGCTCCAACTTCAAGACACGCCGCCGCGACATATGCCGCCCCCTCACACCCCCCTGGGTGTGTTGGGGCGCCATCTCCGCATGAAATCTACTGCCGCGGCGCGGCGAGAAGCCCTAAACCCTAAACCCTAAACCCTAAACCCTAAACCCTAAACCCTAAACCCTAAACCCTAAACCCTAAACCCTAAACCCTCCACGCCTGCTTCAGGATCTCCCAGGTCTTCGGATCCGAGCCTGGCTTGGCGATCAAGAGCTCGAGGCCCGGTACTGCCTGAAAGAAAGGGTTTAGGGTTTGGGGTTTGGGGTTTGGGGTTTGGGGTTTAGGGTTTAGGGTTTAGGGTGTAGGGTTTAGGGATTAGGGTTCTAAGCAGGGTCCAAAGCCCTGTGCAGAATACTTTGCGTGGCCCTGGCGGTCCGCCTTGGGGCTTAGGGGCTTCGTGTTGGTGGGGCCACGGCGAAGGGTTTGTTTTAGGGTAAGTTTAGGGCTTAGGGTTAAGGTTTAGGGTATAGGGTTTAGGGTTAGGGTTTAGGGTTTGGGGTTTAGGGTTTAGGGTTTCGGGTTGCGGGTTTAGGGTTTCGGGTTTAGGGTTACTTTGGGGATCAAATGAACCCGAAAACTGGGGTCATATACCCTTTTCTACTGTAATCCCTAATGAGGTAAATTGACGATGAAGTCGTTTAGGGTTCATCTGTTCCCCAAGGTTTCGCGCTTAGAGGGGGTTAGGGTTTGTATGGTCTGTAGGGTTTGAGGGTTGTTTGGTTTTTGAGGGTTTAGGGATTTTGGGGTTATGTGTTTTAGGGCTTTAGGTTTGTAGGGTTTTAGGTTTTGGGGCCTCGGCTACTTTGAAAAAACTTGAGCCTGAATCACCAACAACTGCAGCAGCAACTTACCCAGAATCCTGGGAGGATCCAAAAAGTAGAGCCCCGAATAGTACCCCATACTACTCTTGAGTCATTCTATCCCCAGACCCTCAGCCTTCAACCCTGAACCCTAAACCCTAGCCCTAAACCCTAAACCTTTAAGAGGCTCTACTTGTTGGATCCTCCCAGGGGTCTGGGTAGGCATTGAAGACTCCATGAAGACGGCCTCCGTGAGCCGCAAAATGCCACCAACGTCGACACCCGCAACGTGCGGCAAGTAGATGGCCTCGCTGTAACTTCATGAACACGAAGTTAGGGTTGAGGGTTTAGGGTTTAGGGTTTGGGGTTTAGGGTTTAGGGTTTAGGGGTTTGAGAAGCCCTAAGCCCTCAACCGGAAGTCTAATCAGTGGAGTTGCACGTCAGAGTATGCAACTTCAGAGTCGCAATGACGCAAACATAGACAGTGTTCGAGAGACTGGCGCTTATGGTTTCGGGCCGAGGGTTGAAGACGTGGGCTGGGGTTTAAGGGTTTAGGGTTTCGGGTTAAGGGTTTAGAGTTTAGGGGTTTAGGGTTTAGGGTTTAGGGTTTAGGATTTAGGGTTTAGGGTTTAGGGGAGTGGAGTTTTGGGGACGAACCTTTGCGTTAAGCCACGCATCGCCACTCCCAATTGGGCCCAGGGCCTGCTCATGATAGAAACTTGGTGGTACATTAGGGCTTCGGGTTTAGGGTTTAGGGTTTAGGGTTTAGGGGTTTAGGGGGTTTAGGGTACAGAGCCCAAAAAGGACAAGGCTCGACATGAATGTCACTTCTAGCATCACCTCATTTTGGGGGCCTGCTGGTGTCTGCACTGTAAACCCTAACCCTAAACCCTAAACCCTAAACCCTAAACCCTGGACACACACAAACCACGAAATTTTTCGGACAGCCACCTTCAGGTCCGAAGGTCCTGAACCCCAAGCCCTAAACACTAAAACCCTAATCTTTAAAATCTTTAACCCCTAAAACCCGAACCTTTAAACCCTAAACCCTAAACCCTAAACCCTAAACCCTAAACGCGAACCCCCTAACCCCCAGCCTTCTTCCCAGAGGCCAACTTCGGCAAGTTTCCTTTGCGGTGCAAGGTGCGATGTAAGGGCGGAACCATGGGCCCCTTAGTCTGGTTTTAGGGTTTAGGGTTTAGGGTTTAGGGTTTAGGGTTTAAGGTTTATGGAAATTGTGTAGTGTTTGGGTCCTAACATTCCCAACAACGCTGTGAACGAACCGTTTTGACCGAAACGTTTCTTTTTTTTGGGGGGGTTGGGGGGGGGGCCCTAAACCCTAAACCCTAAACCCTAAACCCTAAACCCTAAACTCCAGAGTGCTACCACATGCAACTTCTGTTTACTTTGTCTTGAGGGTTTACCTTGCTTTCAAAGGGACTAAAGGCGTGACCCTTCTTCGGGACCTCACTGCGTTTCGGGGCTAATATAGGGGCCTGCTAAGGGACTGCTATGAGTAACTACTCCGAGCCCTATATTGCTTAGGTATATGGGGACTATATAATAACACACACACACACACAGACACACAGAGACACACAGAGACACAGAGACACACAGAGACACAGAGACACACAGAGACACAGAGACACAGACACACAGACACACAGACAGACAGACAGACAGACAGACACAGACAGACACACACAGACACACGCACACACGCTGATCTCGAGCCCGAGGTGTGTTTAACCAATGTGTAGACCCCCCTCCCATCCCGGAGCTGCAAGCAGCAAGAACAGCATCGCGAAACCTTTCGGCTTGATTCGAGAAGACATGATCCCAGATCTTCATGCGCGAGGATGTGTCTCTCCTCGCACAGCTGAGCCGACACTATGCTTTCCCAGACGATGGTTCACTGCCAAGCGCCGCCGTTGCGAGGTCAAGAGCGAACAGCTTACCCCACCATGGGCCACCAATCTTTTCCTTCCCCCCCCCCCCCCCCCCTTCCCCGCACATCGATGCTCAGAACAGCAACCCCGTCAAGCTTTTCTCGCGCAACTCATTCCTTCTTTCCTTGCTGAGCACCAACCAGATAAGGGACATATTGTGGTTATATGAAGCAGGGTATATATTTCTTGTACCCCACCCAGTACATACACTCACCAATATTAAAAAGGAACCTTATATACACTCACCAAGAACAGAAATATAAACCCTGCTTCTAATATGAGGGAATAAGACTAAGATTCCCTTCTAGGGGGGGTTTAGGGTTTAGGGTTTAGGGTTTAGGGTTTAGGGTTCAGGGATCTAGGGCCCATACTTGGAACCTTAGATTCGGCTCTATGGCTCGGGTTAGGGACCTCCAGAGCTCTTAACCTCTAAACCCCAACCCCAGAATCCCTAACCCTGAACCTCTAGACCCCTAGACCCCCTGAACAATGAGCCCTGAACCCTGAACTTAACCCCTGAAGCCGAAACCCGAACCCAACACCTTCAGGGTTGCCAGGGCCGCAGGGGGGGAAACCCTAAACCCTAAACCCAAAAACCCTAAACCCTAACCCCTAAACCCGAAACCCTAAACCCTATACCCTCAACTCTGAACCCGAAACCCGGCCCTACCACCTCCAACAAAAAAAAGACTGAAACCTACCACCCCCGAGAGGAGCCTTTGACCTTAGAGTTGAGGGTTTAGGGTTTAGGGTTTAGGGTTTAGGGAAATAGCCGGTGACCTGCTTGAGCTCTCTCGCTTTTGGTTGGCAGGGAGTCTTGGAGTCCTCAAAGCTTGTTTGTGCTCCTTCTTCGGGTCCTCTGCGAGACAAGTCGCCAACATCCGACAAGGTATGAGCCTCAGCCACAGGAAACCCTAAACCAACCCTATCACAAGCCCTAACCCTAAACCCGAAAACCCTAAACCCTAAACTACCCTAAACCCTAAACCCTAAACCCTAAACCCTAAACCCTAAACCCTAAACCCTAAACCCTAAACCCTAAACCCTAAACCCTAAACCCTAAACCCTAAACCCTAAACCCTGCACCGCCAAACATTACACCATCTGCGAGTCTAGAGTTGTGCAGTCGCTATGTCCGTTGAGCAGACCTTTGTTCCGCACTGTTGCTAGGGTTTAGGGTTTAGGGGTTTAGGGGTTTGGGGGTTTAGGGTTTAGGGGTTAGGGGTTAGGGGTTTAGGGGTTTAGGGGTTTAGGGGTTTAGGGGTTTAGGGGTTTAGGGGTTTAGGGTTTAGGGTTTAGGGTTTAGGGTTTCGGGCCTAGACTAGGGTGTAGGGTTTAGGCTTTTTGGGGGTTTTGGGGTTCAGGGTTTCGGGGTTGAGCTCAAAGATGTTGACTTTCGGGCTGTGGACTTAGAGCTCCTGTGGAGTTTCAGAGTTGGTTTTATATGGCTTAATTAGGGCTCAGGGTTTGGGGGTTTAGGGTTTAGGGTTTAGGGTTTAGGGTTTAGGGTTGAGGGTTAGGGTTGCTTATGCGATTTCGGGGAGCTGGGAGGGATATTGGGTAGGACCACACCTGAGCACAGGGGCGGGACAGCTGCTGATACCTGCCAAAGCTCTACGGGCTTAGGGGACTTAGGTGCGCTGTTGCACGGCAGCTGTTGGGGGTATAGGGTTTAGGGTTTAGTTGGGGTCTAGGGTTTAGGCTAGGGTTTATAGAACAGCCAGCACCAATGCGAAAACACCAGTACCTTCTACAACGCATCTCAAGATGGCTTTAGGGTCACCCTAAACCCTAAACCCTAAACCCTAAACCCTAAACCCTAAACCCCAGTTTGGTGCTTGGAGGTGGCATTGCGCGCGGGATCGGCTGCTGCGGCAAGCAGTCCTGCCACGGGCTCTAAGAACGAAAGCTTACGTCCTTGCGGGTGTGGCATCTTAGGATTTACGGCACGATTCCAAGATCCCCAAAATCCAACATGCAGCATGGCCAGGGCGTCTAAAACCGCGCCCTGGTGGGCCGAAATGGACAAAAGGTTCGGCTACAATCAGTGCATGCTGTCGCTCGCACAACAATCCTGCCAGAGCCTCCGACCAAGAGACGTCTAATCCTAGAAGCTAAACAAAAATCTCCTACCAAACTCACTAAACCCTCTATTTAAAGGATGGAAGTGGGAATTCAGGGCGTTAGCCCGAAACCCTAAAAGGAGAAAAGCGGGGTGGATGCCTGCGTAAGCAGGAGGTTTGGAAATAAAACAACCCAACCTTTCCGGTTGTGGCGGCTCCAAATTAAATAGCCGCCCCCTCACCCTGGGTGTGTTGGGGCGCCATCTCTGCATGAAATCTACTGTCGCGGCGCGGCGAGAAACCCTAAACCCTAAACCCTCAACCCTCAACCCTAACCCTTAAACCCTAAACCCTAAACCCTAAACCCTAAACCCTAAACCCTAAACCCTAAACCCTAAACCCTAAACCCTGAACCCTGAACCCTGAACCCTAAACCCTAAACCCTACCCATCCGTCCCCTTCTCTCGGAGGTCCCGTGTATGCGCAGCTGACATCCAAGCCCTCCTCTTGGAGCTCCTTGTAAACCTGACAGGCTGGGGTTCAAGTTTAGGGTTTAGGGTTTAGGGTTTAGGGTTTAGGGTTTAGGGTTTAGGGTTTAGGGTTTAGGGTTTAGGGTTTAGGGTTTAGGGTTTAGGGTTTAGGGCTTAGGGTTCGGGTTCAGGTGCTCTAGTTTTTTAGGGTTTAGGCGCCTGTCTCCGTGGGAGGTCCACGAGCCCTCAAGCTTCTACGCTCTTGAACTCCAGAACGCCCTTCTTGATACAAAGCCTAAAGCTTCTTCCCTAAACCTTAAACCCTGAACCCTCAACCGCAAGCCCTGAACCCTAAACCCCTAAACCCCTAAACCCCTAAACCCCTAAACCCCTAAACCCCTAAACCCCTAAACCCCTAAACCCCTAAACCCCTAAACCACTAAACCCCTAAACCCTAAACCCTAAACCCTAAACCCTAAACCCTCAGCCCAGGTGCAGGGGCTCCAACGGTGGAGTGCCGAAGACTTGGGATGACCCTTCAGCTTTCGGATTAAGGGGACCCTTCAAAATATAGACGGTTTAGGTAAAGAAGGGTTCCCTTTTAAGGTTCCCCCTTATCCTACCTAAGAGTGCAGAAGAATTGATGACCCTCCAGCTTTCAACACTCACCCTACAAGCCTCCAAGTAGACAACCACCAGCTTTGGGGGTCTGAAGACGATTTCGGGTTTAGAGGGTTTAGAGGGTTTAGAGGGTTTAAGGGTTTAAGGGTTTAGTCCTACTTTGAGATATTTTGGGCTCAAGCCCCCTCACACACACATCACCACTCAAAATGGGGCCTCGTATTGCAGAAAGACGGCTTGCAGGGTTCAGGGGTGCAAGAGGCATGGTACATCTGAGCGGTTTGGGGTTTAGGGTTTAGGGTTTGGGGTTTAGGGTGTAGGGCTTAGGGTTTAAGAGTCCGCCAACCCTGGCGGTGAACCCGCACCGTTTGCCTTGTACCCACCCCCCCCTCACCCCCTCCTCACCCCCTCCTCCCCCCCTTTCCCCCCCGCTGAACCCTAATGAAGTGAGCCTTGTTCGGGGCCCTAACCAGGGCATGAAGGTCACGGTCGTAGGGGGCCATTCAGGGGCCTTCCAGACCCAGTAAAATCCACCCCCCTCCCCCTCCCCCCCGCCCCTGAGAGGCAAAACTGCAAGCAGCCGCTTGTCAGACTCGGCACACCCTAAACCCTAAACCCTAAACCCTAAACCCTAAACCCTAAACCCTAAACCCTAAACCCTAAACCCTAAACCGCCTGGTCCATCTGTGCGGAGCTCTGGGCCCCGACCAGCACCGTCTTTGCCGGGCGCAGCGCGCGGACCTGGGCACGAAGGTAACAATGTCGCGGGAAAGGCAGCGCAGAGGCTAGGCTTTAGGGGTTATAGGGTTTACAGGGTTTATAGGGCTTATAGGGTTTATAGGGTTTATAGGGTTTATAGGGTTTATAGGGTTTATAGGGTCTATAGGGCTTATAGGGTTTATAGGGTTTGCTTGCGCACTCGCAGCATGATCTCTCAAGCTCTTAGCCGTTGTCTCCTCTGTTCAGTGGCCAACGCGCGCCCTCTTCCAGTCAAGAACGCTGAGCAATTAGGGTACGGAAGAAAGGGGGAGCCATTTGCTTAAGCCCCAAAAATACAGGCTGCTAGCCAAGATACTAATCCGCATATTACCCTCATAAGGAAGAGTATGTTTTTTACTTTTGGTGCGGTTCTTGAGATTCCTTAAGCAAATAGAGGTTTAGGTGAGGAGTTCGAGCTCCTGGCTTCTGGTCTTGCACAATGCAGATGAAGAACCCCAACAGCGTGTGGGGCCAGAAGCCTCTAAATCGATAGTCCCAAGGTTTAGGGTTTAGGGTTTAGGGTTTAGGATTTAGGGTTTAGGGTTTAGGGTTTAGGGTTAGGGTTTAGGGTTTAGGTTTAGGGTTTAAGGTTTAGGGTTTAGGGTTTAGGGTTTACCCAAAACCCTACACCTCTCAACCACGACCAACTCGCTCTCTGGCCCTAAACCCTAAACCCTAAACCCCGAACCCTAAACCCTAAACCCTAAACCTCTCAAGCGGCCCAGGGGCTCTCTGCTTCAGAACCTCGCGGGCCTCGGCATCTGCAACAAAGCTGCCCTCCGTGATCAGCAGCTTCAGCCGCACGGGGGCCTCTCTGGAATGCGCCGATCGTTAGGGTTTAGGGTTTAGGGTTTAGGGTTTAGGGTTTAGGGTTTAGGGTTTAGGGTTTAGGGTTTAGGGTTTAGGGTTTAGGGTTTAGGGTTTAGGGTTTAGGGTTTAGGGTTTAGGGTTTAGGGTTTAGGGTTTAGGGTTTAGGGGGGTTTAGGGGGGTTTAGAAGGGTTTAGAAGGGTTTAGAAGGGTCCCTGAATATATGGTCCCTTACCTTCTCCAAAGGGTTCTGAAGTAAGCTTCCCCATTTAAGCACCCTAAACCCTAAACCCTAAACCCTAAGGTATACAAGCCCCTTTGAAGGTTTAGGGTTCTGAAGGGAGGGGGGTTCAAGGGGGGTATGCAACCCAAGGTTCCCCAACACTCCCCACTGCTCCCTGAGGCGCACACGACATCTTACGACACTATGGTTACCCTTGCTCGATGCACCTCTGGTTTAGGGTTTAGGGTTTAGGGTTTAGGGTTTAGGGTTTAGGGTTCAGGGTATTCAGCTGCGTCATGCCACTTGTGTGGATGCCCTGCGGCACTCCCTAAGGCTCCCCAAGCTTCTGTAAGGTTCCCTAGGTACCTACCCCACATGAGGCCCCCTCCCTTAAGAACCCGATGATAAACCCTAAACGCTAAACCCGGAACCCTAAACCCAGAACCCTAAACCCTAAACCCTAAACCCTCCCTTAAGAACCCGATAATTGCAACTACCCCAAGCGCAGGGCGGCTCCGACTACCGAGCCTGAAAACCCCTAAAGTCCCGTCTAAAGTCCCGAAGCCTCAGCTTACAAACTTAGGGTTTAGGGTTTAGGGTTTAGGGTTTAGGGTTTAGGGTTTAGGGTTTACGGTACCCTTGAACCCTAGAGCCCTCAACCTAAGACCTAAGACCCGCAACCAGTGGTAACTTTAGCTGCCCTGGTGTTTTCTCCAGCTAGCCGTTAGGGTTCTTCGGCGGGATTTAGGATCCTGGGCTCAACGCGAACCCTGTCGAGGTACGTAGCACTAAACCCTAACCCCAGATCTCAAGTCCCTAAACCCTAAACCCCGAACCCTCCCTTGCGTGCCTCGCTTAATTGCGCCGCAGTTTGTGCAGAGATGCTGGTCATGCAGGGCACGTAGACGACTGAGGAGCCGAACTCATCGTGAGTGGACTCTTCCTCAGTCAAGCCTTCCCGCGCTCTTCCATGGGGATAGACTCCAAGCTTTGGGCTATAGGGTTTAGGGTTTATTGTGGAATGAAACTAGGGGTAGCTCCTGTTTGGTTCTCAAGGCGGTTTGTAAGGGTACTGTACTAGGTTTCAAAATGGCCATTGCAGGGTCGCTGCGCAGTCCAATCATGGAATGTCAGGTGAAAGGGCTTCGGGATGTTTTTAAGGTTGAGGGTTTAGGCTTGCTAGGGTGGTATAGGTCTTTAGGAATGTAGGGTGCTGGCGCATTGAGTGCCTAAACCCTAAACCCTAAACCCTAAAGCCTAAACCCTAAACCCTAAACCCTGGGGTTCATGGCATGGGGATGCGGGAAAAAGCGCAGGCGCGCCTCCTGCCGGGAGGCGCTCGCAAGCCACAGGGTGTGCATGTGCTTCAACCTCAGCGGCCATTTGAGGTTTAGGGTTTAGGATTTTGGGTTTCGAGGGTTTAGGGTTTAGAATTTTTAGGGTTCAGGGTTATATAACCCTGAACCCTAAAGATCTTAGGCTAGTTGCGTGGTCCCTTACTATGGGCCCTTTAAGTGGGGACTCCTTACATACCGCTTAAATATACAACCCGAAGGGCCCATACTTCAGAACCCTTCGAAGGAAGTAGGGGACCATATATACATATATGTGAGAGGGACCTTTTGGGTCCATTTCACGTATATCACTTGTATGAGGAATTTAATTTATTTACCTATTAATTTCTTTAATTTCTTTAATTTCTGGGGCTCTCTTAGGGAAATAAATGAAATTAAAGAAATTAATAATTTCATTAATTTCTTTAATTTCTGGGCCTCTCTGTGCGAAATTAAAGAAATTAATGAAATTAATTAATTTCTTGAATTTCATTAATTTCTTTAATTTATTTTAATTAGTCCCGTGAGCCGGGGGGGCTCCCCCAATTAATTTCTTTAATTTCTTTAATTTCTGGGCCTCTCTGTGAGAAATTAAAGAAATTAAAGAAATTAATTCAGGTAGCCCTTCGGGCTTGCGAGACTAATTAAAAGAAATTAAAGAAATTAAAGAAATTAATGAAATTAATTAATTTCTTTAATTTCTTTAATTTCTGGGCCTCTCTGTGAGAAATTAAAGAAATTAAAGAAATTAATTAATTTCATTAATTTCTTTAATTTCTGGGCCTCCCTGTGAGAAATTAAAGAAATTACAGAAATTAATTAATTTCATTAATTTCTTTAATTCTCTGTGCGAAATTAAAGAAATTAAAGAAACTAATTAATTTCTTTAATTTCATTAATTTCATTAATTTCTTTAATTTATTTTAATTAGTCCCGTGAGCCGGGGGGGCTACCCCAATTAATTTCTTTAATTTCTTTAATTTCTGGGCCTCTCTGTGAGAAATTAAAGAAATTAAAGAAATTAATTCAGGTAGCCCTTCGGGCTTGCGAGACTAATTAAAAGAAATTAAAGAAATTAAAGAAATTAATGAAATTAATTAATTTCTTTAATTTCTTTAATTTCTGGGTCTCTCTGTGAGAAATTAAAGAAATTAAAGAAATTAATTAATTTCATTAATTTCTTTAATTTCCGGGCCTCTCTGTGAGAAATTAAAGAAATTAAAGAAACTAAATAATTTCATTAATTTCTTTAATTTCTGGGCCTCTCTGTGCGAAATTAAAGAAATTTAAAAATTAATTAATTTCTTTAATTTCATTAATTTCATTAATTTCTTTACTTTATTTTAATTAGTCCCGTGAGCCGGGGGGCCCCCCCCAATTAATTTCTTTAATTTCTTTAATTTCTGGGCCTCTCTGTGAGAAATTAAAGAAATTAAAGAAATTAATTCCGGTAGCCCTTCGGGCTTGCGAGACTAATTAAAAGAATTAAAGAAATTAAAGAAATTAAAGAAATTAATGAAATTAATACATTTCTTTAATTTCTTTAATTTCTGGGCCTCTCTGTGAGAAATTAAAGAAATTAAAGAAATTAATTAATTTCATTAATTTCTTTAATTTCTGGGCCTCTCTGTGAGAAATTAAAGAAATTAAAGAAATTCATTAATTTCATTAATTTCTTTAATTTCTGGGCCTCTCTGTGCGAAATTAAAGAAATTAGAGAAATTAATTAATTTCTTTAATTTCTTTAATTTCATTAATTTCATTAATTTCTTTAATTTATTTTAATTAGTCCCGTGAGCCGGGGGGCCCCCCCCAATTAATTTCTTTAATTTCTTTAATTTCTGTGCCTCTCTGTGAGAAATTAAAGAAATTAAAGAAATTAATTAATTTCATTAATTTCTTTAATTTCTGGGCCTCTCTGTGAGAAATTAAAGAAATTAAAGAAATTAAAGAAATTAATTAATTTCATTAATTTCTTTAATTTCTGGGCCTCTCTGTGCGAAATTAAAGAAATTAAAGAAATTAATTAATTTGTTGAATTTCATTAATTTCATTAATTTCTTTAATTTATTTTAATTAGTCCCGTGAGCCGGGGGGGCTACCCCAATTAATTTCTTTAATTTCTGGGCCTCTCTGTGAGAAATTAAAGAAACTAAAGAAATCAATTCCGGTAGCCCTTCGGGCTTGCGAGACTAATTAAAAGAAATTAATGAAATTAAAGAAATTAAAGAAATTAATTAATTTCTTTAATTTCTTTAATTTCTGGGCCTCTCTGTGAGAAATTAAAGAAATTAAAGAAATTAAAGAAATTAATTAATTTCATTAATTTCTTTAATTTCTGGGCCTCTCTGTGCGAAATTAAAGAAATTAAAGAAACTAAATAATTTCATTAATTTCTTTAATTTCTGGGCCTCTCTGTGCGAAATTAAAGAAATTAAAGAAATTAATTAATTTCTTTAATTTCATTAATTTCATTAATTTCTTTAATTTATTTAAATTAGTCCCGTGAGCCGGGGGGGCTCCCCCAATTAATTTCTTTAATTTCTTTAATTTCTTTAGTTTATGGGCATCTCTGTGCGAAATTAAAGAAATTAAAGAAATAAATTCCGGTAGCCCTTCGGGCTTGCGAGACTAGTTAAAAGAAATTAAAGAAATTAAAGAAATTAAAGAAATTAAAGAAATTAATGAAATTAGTTAATTTCTTTAATTTCTCGAATTTCTGGGCCTCTATGTGAGAAATTAAAGAAATTAATTAATTTCATTAATTTCTTTAATTTCTGGGCCTCTCTGAAATTAATTTCTGTAGTTTCTCTACTTTCAGAGCCTATCTGTGAGAAATCAAAGAAACTAAATACATTAATCAATTTCTTTTATTTGATCAATTTCATTAATTTCTTTTATTTAAACTAATCCCGTGAGCCGGGTAATTAATTTTTGTAATTTCTTTATTTTCTAGGCCTCTCTGTGAGAAACTTAAGAAATTAACAAAAAACATCCGGTAGCCGCGTGGGGTTGCGAGACTAACTAAAAGAAATTAAAGAAAGTAATGAAATTAATCAATTTCTCTGGCTTTTTAATTGCTAAGCCTCTCTGTGAGAAATTAGAGAAATTCAAGCAATTAACCATCCTCTTTAATTTCTTGATTTTCTGGGCCTCTTTAAGCCTTCGTGCATCTTTATCGCGTTCCCTTTTCTATTCCCTTACTTTCGCGCTGAAACCATCACCCTTTCTTTCCCTTAATTTCCCCATTCATCCCTTAAAGAAAGGGACGCCTTCAAGATGTAGGAAGGATTTTTCATATAGTTGTGTGTACAATGGCTTGGTACTAGCGCTCTAATTTTCAAGAAGCTGTTTTGCAAGTAATGTGTGTCACGAGTTTGCTACGTTCATAGGCAGACGATGTAAATACACCCTCTCTAAACAAACCATTTCCCCTAAACCCTGAACCCTAAACTCTAAACCCTAAACCCTAAACGCTCAAAGACTCCTACGGCCTCCAGGCCCTCTAAGAATCCCAAGTTCTCTAAGACTCCCAAGCCCCCTACACTTCCTAAGGCCCCGAAGCTCCCCAGGCCCCCTGAGCCCGCCAAGCCTCCTTAAGTCCCGTAAGCTCCCTAAGCTGTCGAAGCCCCCTTACTCCCTAAACAATTTCGCAGAGCAAGCAAACAGAATTTCAGGACTACAAGCAATCGGTCATGAGCTGTCCTGCAGGCAACGCCTCCACCCAAAGCGTAACTTAAAATTTCCCTGACGTTTCCCTGTTGCGCTTTTTTTTGGCCCCGATTGTTTCAGGGAAGTTTTCCCTTGAAACCCCTGTGTAGTGCTAGAATTTCCCCTCGAATCCCTTTAAGGCTTCGTGTATCTGTACCGCGTTCCCTTTTCTATTCCCTTACTTTCGTGCTGAAACCATCGCCCTTTCTTTCCCTTAATTTCCCCAGTCATCCCTTAAAGAAAGGGACGCCTTCAAGATGTAGGAAGGATTTTTCATATAGTTGTGTGTACAATGGCTTGGTACTAGCGCTCTAATTTTCAAGAAGCTGTTTTGCAAGTAATGTGTGTCACGAGTTTGCTACGTTCATAGGCAGACGATGTAAATACACCCTCTCTAAACAAACCATTTCCCCTAAACCCTGAACCCTAAACTCTAAACCCTAAACCCTAAGCGCTCAAAGACTCCTACGGCCTCCAGGCCCTCTAAGAATCCCAAGTTCTCTAAGACTCCCAAGCCCCCTACACTTCCTAAGGCCCCGAAGCTCCCCAGGCCCCCTGAGCCCGCCAAGCCTCCTTAAGTCCCGTAAGCTCCTAAGCTGTCGAAGCCCCCTTACTCCCTAAACAATTTCGCAGAGCAAGCAGACAGCAAGTGAAGTTCATACAGTTCAAGTCCGTTTACTTCAGATCTATTGAATGCCAATGAAGTGTATAGAGTTGACCACAAGTGCATGGCATTCAACTCAACACACTTGAGTGCCATGCAGTTCGAGTGCATACACGTCCAGTATACAAGTGCAGTATACAAGTGAGTATGCAACAATATAAGTGCATACACTTAAGTGCATACACTTGTCCAAGTGCATACAGTTCGAGCGCACAGAGTCAAGTGCATAGACTCAACGCACCGCA